ATCCAAGTTGGATAATGGTTTTTTACCGTTTTGTTTCATTTTGTGTATCAGTACAACGTGTGATGTACTGGTATGATTATTTGATTCACCATAGCTAGGGGTAATGGTTAGCTTGTCCAAATATTTTGATATTTGCTGCATCCCATGCCTATTTTTTATTTTATGTTTCGATAAACAGGTTACATTGATGTCTCTTATATTTTGATTTGTGATAAATTAGATTGATATAAATTACTTAATTTTGCGATACAAATTCTTTTCGGATTTGGGAGGGAAATGAGTGATGTACAAATGTTTCCCAATCATAGTCATTTCAAAATTAATTAACTTAAAGACAGGCATAGTACCAAACAATTACGTATATGACTGACCACATATATCTCTTAAACGACCAAGACTTTTCCAGAAACGATCGCTTAAACGATCTCAAATCGTTTAAGCGACCAAGAGTCTATTACAAAGCATCACTTAAATGATCGCTTAAGCGATTACCCATCTGGGCAGATGTTCATTCTAACTCGGACAATATCGCTTAAGCGATCCTTAATCGCTTAAGCAACAAAAACTCTTTTATGAAGAATAGCTTAAGCGATACATAAGATCGCTTAAGCGATCATAGATCTGGGCAGATATTCATTCTGCCTCGGACAAGATCACTTAAGCGATCTCAAATCGCTTAAGTGACCAAGAGTCTTTTACGAAAATTGCTTAAGCGATATAAATGGATTGCTTAAGCGATCATAGATCTGGGCAGATTCATTCTGCCTCGGACAAGATCGCTTAAGTGACCAAGAGTTTTTTACGAAAATCTCTTGAGTGATACAAGTGGGTCGCTTAAGCGATTTTCGATCTAGGCATCTACCGCAGACTAGATCGCTTAAGCGTTTACCGATCGCTTAAGCGTTTACCGATCGCTTAAGCGACTACGAGTAAAAGCAAAGAATCGCTTAAGCGATACAGACGGATCGATTAAGCGACCAGAGTAAAAGCAAAGAATCGCTTGAGCGATCCTATGTATTCGGATATTATTTATTGTATTTCAGAGCATCGGTTAAGCGATTAACGCTATACTAAACATATAGGGTTTACGATTCATTTAGTGGACCATGACCGTTATTATATTTATATTAAAATATAGTTCTTTTACGTCAGTCTGAAACATATAAGGTGTAGAATGTTTACATCTATGCTAAACATATAGGGTTTACGATTCGTTCAATGTACCTTGACCGTTATTATATTTATATTAAACATATAGTTCTTTTACGTCAGTATGAAACATATAAGGTGTAGAATGTTTACATCTATGCTAAACATATAGGGTTTACAATTCGTTCAGTGGACCTTAACCGTTATTATATTTATATTAAACATATAGTTCTTTTACGTCAGTATACAACATATAAGGTGTAGAATATTTACGTATATGCTAAACATATGGAGTTTACGATTAGTTCAATATGTTTTTATATTTCTTTGTTTAATTATTTAGGAAATATTAGTATATTTTTAATTAATTTTAGACCCATTAAGTGAATTAATTTCATTAATACCGCCTGAAAAAGTTTAAAAATTAACAAAAACACCCCCACCCACCCAACTTCCCGGATTCCGACTACCGTCGACAGCAACAAACGACCAAAAATGGCTTATGACAGCCAGATGTGACCTTTTCTGGCCAGATCCATGGTGGATCTGGCCGAAAAAGGTCACATGTGGTCGTCATCGACTTTAAAAAAATGGCCGACGTTGACAGTCAATGACGGCCAAATCTTGAGCATCGTTGACCGACAACGACGACCATATATTTGTAGGGGTGAGCACGGATAGCGGGTAGAACCAGAACCTGGGGGTAGAACCGGAACCGGAACCGGAACTGGCACTAGGCGGGTAGGTTCCGGTTCCAATTTTTTGGAACCGACACTGTGCGGTTTCGGTTCCAGTTCTAACCGGAACCAGAACCAGAACCTGGAAAAAGGGTACCCTATTTGGAACCTGTTTTGGAACCTGGACTGCAATGAAATATTTGTGAAATGTGAATAATGGGGGGTTTCTAATATTTTATATATAAAAAAATTTAAAATAGAAAAAAGTTAAATTTTTGGAATAACCTAATTAAATAAATATACTAATACAATTATACTTATTACATATAAATTACACTATATTAAAAACTTTAATATATTAATATTAAAGTTTTGATTAATTAAGTGAATAATTGGAATTATAATCCAATTAAAAGTGTTTTAAATTTTTAATGTTACTAAAAGAATTATTTTTTAATAAAATAGTATATTTGATTGAATAATAATATATTTAGTTATTTACTTCAATTATCAAGTTCTAAGTATATTTCTAGTAAATTAGCAATTAATTAATTATATATGATAAATTGATAAACATTAATAAATTTTATTACTAGTTAAATGTCATACTTAATCAATCGTAACATTACATTATATGATTAATTATAATTTTATAACATTACTTAATTGATTTATAATATAATTACTTAATCAATTATAACATTTCATTATAAACATTAGTACAAACTTAATTAAATTATTAAAAATTTAATTAATTATAATATTACATTAAAGATTTATAATATGATTACTTAATTCACTATAACATTACATTATAGTATGATTACATAATTAATTATAACATTACATAATTAAATGATTACTTAATTGATTATGACATTATATTATAAATATTAGTAATTACTAATTTACTACATAAACATTAGCACAATACTTAATTAAATTATTAGAAATTTAATTAATTATAACATCACATTATAAATTTATAATACAATTACGTAATTAATTATAATATTATATTATAATTAAATAATTACTTAATTAATTATAATATTATATTATAAACAAATTAATTATAATATTACATAATTAGATGATTATTTAATTGATTATGACATTATATTATAAATATTAATTATAATATTATATTATAAACAAATGATTACTTAATTAAATGATTATTTAATTAATTAAATATTACATTATAGTTAAATAATTACTTAATTAAATTATAACAATATTACATTACATTATATTATGATCACTTAATTAATTATAGTATTGCATAGTTAAATGATTACTTAATCAGTTATAAATTTATAACATTACATTATAAATATTAGTAATTTACTACATTATTATATTACTTAATTAAATGATTAAAAATTTAATTAATTATAATATTACATTAAAGATCTATAGTTTGATTACCTAATTCACTATAACATTATATTATAATATGGTCATATAATTAATTATAATATTACATAATTAAATAATTACTTAATTGATTATGAGTTATGACCTTATATTATAAACATTAGTAATTACTAATTTACTACATAAACATTAGACACAATGTAATTAAATAATTAGAAATTTAATTAATTATAATTACAGTATAAATTATAGGACGATTACTTAAAGTTAATTAATTGTAACATTACATCATAATTAAATGATCAATTAATTATATATATTCTATTATAAATTAATTAATTATAATACTATTAAAGTTTATAATATGATACTTAATTCATTATAATATGATTACATAATTAGTTATAACATTACATATCAGATGATTATTTAATTGATTATGACATTATATTATAAACATTAATTGTAACATTACATTATAAACAAATGATTACTTAATAAATAATCTGAAATTTAATTATTAAGCATACTTATAGTTAAATAATTACTTAATTAAATTATAACATTATTATATTACATTATATTATGATCACTTAATTAATTATAGCATTACAGAGTTAAATGATTACATAATTAGTTATGAATTTATAACATTATATTATAAAAATTAGTAATTACTATAATTGCATTACTTAATTAAATGATTAAAAATTTAATTAATTATAACATTACCTTATATATTATAGTATGATTACTTAGTAATATAACATTTCATTATAAATATTAGTATATTAATAAATAATTAAAAATTTAATTAATTCAATATTAAATTATAGATTTTAGTATGATTACTTAATTCATTATAGCATTACATTATAGTATGATCACATAATTTATAATTAATGATTACTTAATTAATTATGAATTATATTATAAACATAGTAATTTACTAATTTACACAATCTTAATAAATGATTAGAATTTTATAATTTTAATATTACATTATAAATTTATAGTATGATTACTTAATTAATATAGCACATTATATAACAATAACAATACTTAATAAATTAACAATTTATTAATTATAATATTACATTATAATTAAATAGTAAATTACTTAATAATTATATAATTACAATTTACATTGGTAGTATGACTTAATTAATATAACTATATAATTAAATGATTACTTAATTATTATGACATATATTATAAACATTAAACATAAATAACTTAATTAATTATTAAACATTTAATTAATTATAACATTACATTATTGTTTAATAACTACTAAATAATTATAAGTATTTATAACATTACATTATAGTATGATCACTTAATTAATTATAACATTACATTATAATTTAATAATTACTTAATTAATTACAACATTACTATATTACATTATAAACATTACTAATTTATAATATTAAATTTACATGTTATGAGTTACATTTGACACAAATGAATGAGTAATCAAAATTTGTTAGGGGTGTATTTGTAAACTCTTAAGGTATTTTTGCCATTTTTAAGCTAATAGGGGGTAATTGATTTTTTACAGGGTACCCCGGAAAAGAACCGGAACCTGTATTTTAGGTTCCGGTTCCTTGAATTGAAAAATATGTACTGTGCAGTTCCAGTTCCGGTTTCTTTTTTTGGGAACCTACATTGTACGGTTCCAGTTCTAGTTCCCCTGAAAAATGCAGGGTACCCGGAACTACTCACCGCTAAGCATGAACAAGCTCATCCTTATGGCACGCATGATTATTGAAGATGAATGGAAAGGGAAGAAGAGATGTTTCGGAAGACGTTCATGAAATTTCCTCCCATACCAATACAGAGGAGATTTCTAGCTTGATCACATCAAGCCAAAATCCATCATCTCTCGCAACTACGTGATATACTTTGATACTCTTTAAATTGAAGTTGAGAATCTGATAAATGACCGAGCACGGATCAACAATGACGTGTTGTGCCAGAAGAAATGGACTGAGACGCGATTTACAAGGATGTTTTGAAGTGGGTGACTGGTGTTGAGGAGCTTCTGGATGATGCAAGAATGACATTGAAAGACTTTGACCAGAAAGTAGATGAGCGATGTTTGATTGGATTGTGTCGCCATTTGAGGCAGCTGAAGGATGTTACTGAACTGCGGAGAGGAGTGCTCGATAGAATTCTGTTAGATCCAACATATATGGCTTACTTATACCAGAAATTAACGGTTGGTTCTGTCAACACGATTGAGGATTGCAGAATGGGTGACATTGGCAAGACAATGCCAGCGAAGCAAGTAGCAGGTCGAGCCAAGACAAGCTCTTTAATGTTGTGATTTTTGCAGTGGTAACCCTGAATTCAAACATAGAAAATATCGGGAAACATTGCAGATCACGCAAGTCTGATGTTCTGTGGCGAGGATGTAGAGGGAAGAGCAATTAGGCTTTTTTTAATCGATGGCGGTGGATGTCTCAGGAAAGTACCAGTAAAGCTAAGCTGGAATCCAAGATGAGGATAAAACATTATCTGACCAATTATAACCAAGCAGAGGCAGGTCAGCCGCCGAGTTGGTGAAGAAAGCATGACGAGGTTTAGATTTGTTAATCTTACTGGAGTAGAGGTGGGGGTAGATGGTGGCAAATGCTTGTGATTTCAAGGACAACTGGGTGGAAGCAGTGCCATCTGGAGAAATGTACTTCCCAAAAGTCACAGATAACAATACAACTCTTACTCTAAATCATACAAGAATCTTAGAAGGAAATTAAAGAACACAATTTGCTTGCCAGCTTCATCAAACAATCAGCAGAACTCCGAAAAGGAAACTCGTAAACTTGGCATTGACATCCTGCAACAGGCCCTGAAAAAGATTCACTTAGATGAATAGTACCATTTCACCACCCGGAAATCCATGCCTGCAAGAAAAACTCAAAGTTCAGCAAATTACTCTTGTAAACTTTGGTTATTGTCATCTAAAAGCACAGCAAGGAATAACTAACATGCTGTCATTGATTTACCTTATATGGGTTCGACCTGGATCTTGATATTAACGATTTTTTGTATCTTGAAAAAGTCATAGATAATAATACAACTCTTTACCCTGAATCAAACTCGGACCTCAGAAAGAAATTAAAGAAGCCAACTTCATCAACAATCGGCAGAACTCCAGAGAGGAAATTCATAAACTTGGCAATATCCACACACACACACACACACACAAAAAGGTGAAAATTGACATCCTGCAGCATGGCCTTGAAAAGGATTCATTCAAGTGGAATAGCACAACCCTATTACCATCCGCAAATCCACGCCTGTAAAAAAAGAAAGTCAGAAGAGTTCTGCAAATTAGTCTCGTAAACTTTGCTGATTGTCATCTGAAAGCACAGCAAAGAAATACATCTAGAAGAGTTGTGTCTTGTAAGTTACCTCATCAGGGTTGAATCGGTTGTTGCAGATTTAGAAAACGATTTTTTGTAGCATCGTTATCTGCCGGCCAAACCAATTGGTTCCACAGATCTTGAGTGCAATAGATCGATCTCAATTTCTTTGCCTCTTTGAAAGTAGATGGGAAACTTTTAAGCTCCGCACATTTATTAATCATCAATGTCTCCAAAGAATCCCATTTCATGGACACAACTTTGCTAATGTTGGACAATGAGGGCAGATCAATGAGTTCAAACTCCTCCAATTTAGGAAAGGCCCCTAAATCAACAATACTTCCATCCTGGATAATTTGTTCAATGACTTTGCAGTCCTCAATTTTAATATGCTTTAACTGGTTAAGTCGCAGAACCGTAACCCCTGAGAACAAAACTTTTAGGCTGTGGCATCCTTTTAGCGTTAAAATTTTGAGCATGATAAGACTATGCTGTGATTCTATTGCACCTTTCCAAATGTGCTCCAATTTTGGAAGGCCGTCAATATGCAACTTATTTAAGCTTTTAAAAGCGTCACCTCTGGTATGCTCACCATCAATAATACTTGTCATGTTACCACAATCTTCAATTGTACAATCTTTAAGGAATTGTAGATCACCACCGTCAACGACTGATAAGTTTGGAGCTGTATGATCAATTAGCTCAAAAGCATGTGCTTGCTTCAATATCTTTAAAATAGCCTCAGGGAAGTCATCACCTGTATGGATATAGCCATATCAAGATGGATTCAAATTAAATTTTGTTCATGAGAACCATGGCTTTAAATACTAAAATTAGCATAATGAAAACTCCTATGCTGCTCAAAATCAAATCAAACTATCTTACAATTATAATTCAATTGAAAATAGTTACCAAAGATTTTATTCAATATAAACATATATACATACAAAATGTATGTTATAAATATACTTATGTAAAGGATTAGAAATTGGATTTCGTAATCATATGATAAATTTGAAGTTGATTCAATTGTTTTGTGAAGAGAAACGATGAAAGCCATAAATGGAAGTGAAAATTTGAAGAGAGATGCTTTGTTTTCAAGTGCTTGAAGAGTAAGAGATGAATATTTAACAATGAAATAAACTCCTTAATGTTTTATTTGTATGTAATTCTATTGTAAATCAATATTTTTCAAGAAATAAAATGAACCACTAATTCTATTATAAATCACTATTTTTCAAGAAATAAAATGAACTACTTTAATTTTAATTTTATGAAAGAAATTTGAAATAACGCATTTACCTGCAGAAAATCTCAAACGCTTTTGAGTTGACCATTTGGAGACATCAAATTCAGGTAGAGAATTTCCTTGTTGAGGACCAACAGTGATGCTGAATGATCTGAGTCCACCTTTCCACTTATCGTTCCCGTTAAACGATTTACTGTTACTAATAAATGTCTTGAAGCAATCCAAGGTAGGAAAGTAGAAACAAAGATTAGTCAATTCCTCAAGTGTGGAAACTTGCTCGACAATACTTATAACAACATTTTGATCCCATCTTTCATCAGTTGGATCCACAACAATTCCCAACTCTTCCAATGAATGAAGCTTGTCAAATACATTAGAAGAAATCATCTCCCTTGGTCCCTCACCATTAACATGGTTTTGGTTCCCAATATTTTTTCTAATTGAAACTCTCAGACACTTGAGAGAAATCAAGTGTTTTATTACTGAAGGCAGGTTATAAATTCCAGTATGACGTATGTCAAGAATTTCGAGAGTACGAAGATCTCCTACCTCAGCACAGAGCTCTATTAATTGATCACAATTCTTTAGGAACATTGCTTTGAGATTTTTCAAGCAAGAAATAGATGACGGAAGAGTTTGGATCTTCGTTTTATACAAGTCAAGAAGTTGAAGCAAAGACATACGCTGAAAGAATGATGTTGGAAATTGTGACAAGCAATTGATTTCGTGAAGTAACAATGTTAAGATTCTTTCAGACTTTGGCTCCTTCGGTAAAGGGAGAAAGCATGAATTGCCAATCATTGAGATCCTAGTTGCAACTTCCCATTTTATTTCTCTACCTATCTCTGGCATATAAATGTTCTCATCTTCGGCAAATCGAAATGCCAGTCGTTGATAAAACTCGAACATCGTATATAGTCCTACCACCTTTCCCTTTTTCAACAGAGAATTGCCGACCAATTCAAGCAACTTATCATTCCCATCATCACGTGCATCCCTAAGCTTTGGGAAGCCATTTAAAAACTGTTCTGCTCTCCAACACTCAATTATATAATCCCGATGAAGTTCACTGCCAGCGGGAAAAATTGCCAAATATAGAAAGCAAGACCTATCCTTTCGTGATAGCCTTTCAATTTCAAGTCTAAGGGTCCTGTAAACTATTTCCAAATTTTGCCTCGGTTCCCCAGTTGGTGATGTTAAACCATCCCATGTCTTCCGCCATATTGCTGCAATGTTTGCATTTTCTTCTTGAATTTTTTCTTCAATACTCATTCTATTACTCAAGTGCTTTCCTATCAACTCTATCAAGTACGGCATGCCACTGCAGAACTTGATAATCAATTCTGCTTCTCCCACGATATCTGGATTATCCCTGAAACCCAGACCCACAATTTCCCAAAACATCTTTCTAGCATCCGTGTCTGACAATCTGTCCACTTCTAGCTCTTCATCCCTTCCTTGACAAAATACTCTATACCTGGTTGCAAAGACTACCTTTCCTTGATGTTCATCAGTAATGCCTATTTCTTCCAAATTAATTTTTGAAAAAACATCATCGAGTAACAATAAATAGCTCGGGCATTTCTTCAGCTTTTCATTAATCTTGCTTCGTCTTTCTTCAGCACTTAAATTTTCCTGATTTATCTTCAACCGCTTCAGAAGTTGTTTTTGTATGCGTTCTTCATCATTTCCTTTGCCTACTGCAACCTTAAAAACTATATGAAAGTCTTCAGGTACCTTAATTTCTTGATGCAGACGATCCATTACCCTACTTTTCCCAACTCCTACTGGTCCCCATACGCAAATTGTTTTGATCTTTTCATTTCTCAAATACTCTTGTAGCTTTTTTACATTTTTTTCAACTGATGCTAATTTAATATTTTCCTTGGTGGGATTGCTGATACGTAGAGGTGGCGGCTTCTGAATCATCATACTAAGCATTTTTTCCCTGGCGTTCGTCAGATATGCTACCTCCTCTGTCATTTTCACAATTCGTCTACCAAGTTTCATGAGATAAAGATAGTGTCTAGGTCCACAAGGACGATCTCCATACGCAGTCTTCAATTTTTCGACTTCAACTTTCATCTCTTTCACTTTTCCCCGCCAGATTTCGCATTCCTTTGTCTCATCTGCTTCTGCTTCACATCTCTCCAGTTTGTCTTCTGTAAATTTCTCTCGAGCGCAAAGTGTGTCATATTCATCCTCAAGTTTGGCATAATTCTGTTCAATATCTTTCACATAACCATGTTTCCTCTTCAGATAGTTGGCTATGCCTGTGCCTTGTTTAATTGCAAAATCGGTTCCAGTTACGATAGTTTGCGTCAGAGTCGCTGGATCAGACATCCTGCAAATATTGTTGAAAAGTTAATGTCTATCAAGCTAATAAAACATCTGATCAAAACAAAATAGAATTGCCGGTTAAGATTATGATTCTTCTTTTATATATATAGTTTTATAGTTTGGTATTATATATGGTAATTCATTCACTTTGAAACGAGAAAAAAGCAATCACTCCTACGATTTCCAAAAAGTATTTGGATAACTATGAACTTTTTAATACCCACAACAGTTTCCCAAAATCCTAATTCTGTCCAAATTCAGTTAATTGTACAAGGGTAAAAAAACCACTTTACCCTCTTTCTTTTCCTCCTTTTTTATTTATTTTACTTTCTTCTTTCCTTCTTTCCTTTCTCCCCTTTCTTTTCCTTTTTTCCTTTCTTTCTCTCCCCCACCATGGAACTACCACCAACGAACTCCATTCCTTCACCTGAAACAATCTCTGGCAACCAGCCAATAGAACCCAGACCCCACAACCACTTCCTCCACCACCAACCTCTTAATATAATACCCACCCTAAAACATCTCTCCCCACCCAAAATTAGGATCCCTACACCTGCCGCCTCCCACCACTGATATCAACTCAAGAAAACAATCAATCCAAATCATTATAAGTCCCAAACAGCAAAACCTCAAATTCAATTGTAGTTGCGGAGACAAACCAACAATGTTACTGGTTCGGTATATTGCACAGCGAAACAAAAACGCAAAACTGAATTCGATATGATAGATCCTAATCCAACTTTGATTTACGAAAGTTTGAGCCATACAATTCAATTCCAACTTAAGCTTAGTTTGGATTGATGTAGTTTTTTCCTTAATCACTTTTAGCCCAACTTTTTGAATAATCAGCTTTTGATAAAAGTTTTCAGCAGTTTGTTTTGTAAAATTTTAAAATTGCTTTACTTTTGAAAAATGATAGATGGCAAATTTAAAATGAGCAAATCGGCAAAGTAGGTTCCTTTTAAATAAGTTTTTTTAATTATTAAAATAAATATTTTAAATATAAAAAAAAAATTAAGAGCATATTATATCGCTTTTAAAACACGAAATGCGTTTAAGATGCATAATATTCACTACAAAATGATATTAAATCCTCTGGATTGATTATTAATAACAATAATAAGACTCGGGTTCTTAGTATGAAATTCTTGCAGAAGAGATCTTGTTTTTGTTCAAACCTAACAGGCTCACAGAAAGAATAAATATAAATATTCTAAACCAGCCCTAGGTGTTTGAACTTTTAACTAAAGAAGTTAAAAACACACCTGAAAAATTGTCTGGTTACTGTCTCTGCTTGCTCTCAGCAACTCTGAAGCATCTCAAAACTGGAGGAAGTTCTTCCAAATGTATCATGAATTGGTCAGAACCAGGTCACTCAATCACTTGGTCAACGACAATAATAAAACACATTATTTTAACTAATATTTTTACGCGGGCCAGCCACAACTTGGCCTTTTTATTGATTATTGTTATCGTGTGTGCGTGTATATATATATATATGGCCTTTTTATTGATTATTGTTATAGTGTGCGTGTGCGCGCGTGTAGTAGCGGATCCAAGATTTTTGTCGAGAGGGATTTCCGCGGCTCTGTCATTATTTGCTAAATAACTAGTGAAAACTTTAAAAAATTACTAAATCTTAATAAAAAAATAATATAATATTAAGAACATGAGAAAAAAAAATATATAATAACACAATATTTTCTTACTTGAATAAATTTAGAAGAAACAAAATTTTGAGAAAAAGTGTTGAGTGAACCTTGAACAAAACCTTTTTTTAATATTTTTATTTTTGGCTTTCAAAGATTATAATATAAATTTTTATAGCGTTGATCAAACCTAGCTTAATTAAGCTAAAGTCAACCAAAACTTAAATCAAGTCAATGTTGCGTTGACTTTTAATATGAATTAATAAAAAAGGAGAAAATTTTTTAGTATAAACATAGATAGTAACTCAAATTTCTTTAATAATTTTGAACAACTGAATAGTGACGTTTAAAATGTAGGAAAGTGGTGGGTGAAGGGTGAAGAATAACGTCATTTAAAATATAGTTAAGGTTTTAATTTAAGAAAAGCATTCTTAGACAGAAAATATAAAATAAACTCACAAGATTAATATCTTTTTTCTCTCAAATTAGAATAAAAAACCTCAAAAAGAAAAAAAAAATGATTCCATCCTTAAATAAACTAAATTGAAATGAATAATACACATACCTAAAATCGATAAAACAGAAAACGGAGCTTATTATGACACCTTGAGTAGTGAAAATTTAACAATTTCAGTCTTCAAAAATTTTAAGAGCGAATAACATGAGAAAGAGAAAGAGAAAGAGAGGGTAAAGAATTTGGGGACAAAATCATAAAAAACAGATAAAGCCGTGTAGAAAAACACTGGAGAGAGTTTTACTTTTAATATGATGTGGGCTTGAAACATATATATATATATATATATAACAAGTTTTTTTCATAGACTAGATATACAGTATGTATAATAGTTCTTATTTTTTAAAAATCTAAAGTTGGGTCTGGGTATATATGTTAATTAACAATTTTTTATGGCCTGTATATTAATAAAAAAATTTTCAAATCTGAGGGTAGCCTGGGCTGAATCCGCTCCTCTGTGTGTGTATATATAAATATTTTTTATTTTATTTTTTTGAGTCGGGGTAAAGACGTAAAATAAATATCAGAGGAGAAAGGAGAAAGAAAACGGGGGAAAAGAGAGGTAAAAAAGAAAAGGAAAGAGTTGAGGGAGAGAGAGAAAGAAGAAAAGTAGGACGGGGAGAAAAATAAAAGAAAGTTAAAAAGGGAGAAAAATAATTAAAGACAACATGTTCTCACCCAAGGTTTTGCGAAACCCAAGGTTGGCACCCTGGTTTCATGTCATTATAAATTAAATTAAATTAAAACGTCAAAATAACTCCCAAGTTAGACTTGGCAAAATGGACAGGTGAGTAGGGTATGGTTTAGATCAAAACGGGTGCAGTCCCACAGGTATGGGCCCAAAACAAGTCGATCTAAACCGGTCCAAAATATTGGATCTGCACCCTACCCTATGCAGGTATGGGTTGACCCGCAGTGCCTGCATTAGTCATCCCTAGTTTTAAATTATGATGGTTACACCCCCAAAATGGTTTCAGTTTTCAATTATGCGTTACACCCCCAAAATTCTTGCAATTTTCATTTTTTACAACTACACCTCCACATTCAAATACTCTAAGTTCAATTCAACTCACAACCAACTCAATTTCTCGTCAATTTAAGACCAACAAGCATATAGTTTATAGAAAATAAATACATAATCGCTAATACACAAAAACAAATACCAAACACAATATATATAACACAAATACAAAAACAAAAACATAAGATAAATTTAACTTTTCTTGACATTGGTCAGCTCATGTTCATTCCTTAGTGGGGCTGATAGTAGAGTCTCTTGATTCCGCAATCCCCAGATTAGTTAGTGGCACATCAAGATCATCATCTGAATCATCATATACAATTATCAACTACAAATATTAATAAATGTAAGTAACAAAACATATGAAATATTATGTTAACATATTACCTTTAAAGTCATATCCATATAGCCAAGTCTGAGTGCATATCAAAGATTTTGCATTTTTTGGTTGAAGTGAGCTTTGAAATTTGTTAAGCACTTTACTACCAATACTAAAAGTGAACTCTGAAGCAACGGATGTTATTGGTATACTCATGATATCACGAGTCATCGTGGCAAGTGTTGGATAATGATCACAATTGCTCTTCTAATGCTAGAGGATATCCAAATTCTGATGTTTGATGCGACCAAACCTTATCTCTTCCAAATAAAGATCCAATTCAGATTTCTTAGTGGTTACAAATTCACTTTCATAGTTGTCAAAATCCTACACCATTTAAATAGTTAAGTATCAAAAATTAAAATTGAACAATAAATAATACTTTATTAATCAGAAGAATATAAAAAGTATAGTGACTTATACAAGTATGATCTACACACCTATTAAGAGTAAGACCACTCGCAGAAGAAACAACTAAGGTGTGGTGGGAACTTCTTTGGAACATTGAACCTCGTAAGTTGAAAAAGCTTATGCAAGTTATGTTTAACAACCTCCATCTTTTATTGGACAGTAGTTAAATCTAAACTTTTTTGTAAGCATACTCCACAAACTGAAACTTAAGATACGAGGTTAAGAATAGTTGCAATAGTTAACACAAGACTATAAGAATTCCGATATTTTACAAATTTTGGGATCATTTGTTCGGCCATGCTCTCAATAACTTCATCCTCTCTTCATTTAAACGCAATTGAATTTGCCACACATTTAAGGTATAAGTTTGCTGTAGGGTATTTGGAACTCGAGAATAGAGTTGTAATCTCATAAAATGGATCCAAGAATTTGCATATCCTCTCCCCCTATCCCATTCTTCATTTGATGGACAAAATTTGTAATTGTGATCTATTATTGATAAAACTACAAACAAAGGACGATATATTAACACGGTTTTAAGCATTTAAAAAGTTGAATTCATCTAATGGAAACATCCAATCTTAACCCCATTGAGCTTTCACACCTGTTTGTACAACAAGTTCTCCAAACTTGAATTTTCTAGCCTCAGTTCCTTTAATATATTTCACATTATCTCGAATCTTATTTAAAGCCACACTAGTGACTTTTAACCTTTCTTGAACAATAAGATTCAAGATATGTTCAGAACATCGCACATGGAAAAAATTACCCATACATAACAAAGCATTTTGCACACAAAGTTGGTTCCTTAAGATATCCTCGATCCTATTATTACTACTTGCATTGTCCAAAGTAATTGAGAAAACTTTCTTTTCAATTTCCCATTCTTGTAAGAAAGTCAAAACTTTATCTGCCAAAACAATTTTTGAGTGTGGAGGAGGAATATGGCAAAAGTTGAGTATTTTACTTTGTAACGCACAATTCTCGCCTACGTAATGAGCCGTTAGTTGTAGCAGAAATCCAAACATCAGAAGTTAAGCATATTCTACTAGAAAGCCTCCCTAATTCAAGCTTAGGTTTTTCCTTCATCCTTCCATATACTTTTGAGCGATCCATCTTAGTGATGTTCCTAGTATAATGCTTAACTTCCTTACACAAATACAAATGAACATTCCTAGTTCCTTGATTCTCCACATATGAACATGGATAATCATGTTGAATAAAACATGGGTAATTATGTTGAGTAATTGATAATGTCATCTTCTCACAAAAAGTCTCTTAAATAATCTTTCTACTTTGCAATTTAGGATCATGATCAATCAACTAAAACGTTTCCTTGTCCACTCCCATGGTAATCTAGTATTTAGATAGCTAAAATGGGCCCATCCAATTTTACATCTATAGGCTGAATGTTTTCCACTGTTTTGCTCCATTCGGGTTAGACTACATAGATGATTACAAAATTCTTACGTAGTTTTTCTATTAATCTTGTTATGAAGAAAGCCTGCTCTTTATCTTGGTAATCAAAATCATGAAAACACTACAAAATAAAAATCTTAGACAATGAGGGAAGATTAATGAGTTCCAAATTCTTCAATTTAGGAAAGGCGCTGGATTCAAATTCAACTCTACTTCCATCCCTGATAATTTCTTTAATGACTTTGCATTGCTCAATTTGCATATACTGCAACTCCTTAAGTTGTACAGGCACTTCCTCAGAGAATAAAAATTCCAGCATAGGGCATCCTTTTATCTTTAAATTTGTGAGCTGGATAAGACTACGCTCTGGTATTACTGAATTTTTCCAAATGTGCTCCAATTTTAGAAGACCATCTGTTATGCCTAAAAATATGAGGCTGACATAAGGTCTAGTCAGCATGCAAAAGTCAGATCATGGGAACGCCCGCAGCCTGCTTCTGTCAGAATAGTGGGCGCATGCCAAGCGAGCCAAGAGCTGTGACGATCCCACGTGTCCAATCCCTGCTCCAAATCGTGCAAATCACTAAGGAAGGTGGGCAACGTGACATAAAGAACGATTTTGCACGGATAATCTCACCAACCCGCAGATTCAGTGATGATTGCCTCAATCCATTCCTCTATAAATTAAGAGCCCTTCTCTCATTGAAGGGGATTCGCACATTTTACACTTGATTAACCACTCTCTCTCTCTCTCGTTAAAATTCTTAGCATTTGATACCTTGTAATATCATTGTAAAGTCAGTCTGCTAAAAGCGACCTGACCCTTATCATCAATAAAAGCATCAGTGGACGTAGGATTTGCTACCTTAGCATCCGAACCACTAAATGTCCCCTTATGCATTTACTATCATTTTCTTTTGCATGCATGTGTGTCTTTTGGGCTAGCCCAACATTTCACACGTGTGTTTCGTTAGTGT